GAGGCTGCCACTCGACAACCATTCTTCCCCATTGGGTTTAAAGTCTCCAAACATAGTGACTGAGTCGCCTAATGCAAGGATGGCTTCGAAATCACTCTTAACGGGGAGGGTTCCGCTAGGGATATAGCAATATAGCAAGAGGCTATAATGATTGACTGGTGTCCAGTCATAGCTAATCTAGTGATAGTGGCTTCCATACTGGTAAACGACGGAGTAGATATATGGGAGCAATGAAGGGACTTTTTGTAATAGATGGCAGTACCGCCGCCTTTGCGGTCGGGTCTATCGTTACGTAGAAGTGAGTAATTTTTAATAGTAAGGCCTTTAGAGACCTTGGCCGGCCCATTGCCACTTTAGCTTACTAATCCGTTGAGCTATCTTGGTCACTCTGGTTTTACTGCGGATATCCTCATTTCTAAGTCTATCACGCAGAAAAACTCTGAGCATAGCCCTCTCCATAGCTCGCTGAGCGACCTTGAGCTTCCTCATACGGCCAGCAGTGAAGGACCACGTCTGAGTTCCGTAAGTCAACACTGGCAACACGCACTGGTTAAACAATCTAGTTTTTAGAATTTCAGGTATACCTGACGAGAAGATGTGTCGTAATTTTCCGAACGCTGCCCAGCCGAGTTCAATCCGTCGATTGACCTCTCGGTCACAGTTGGACTTACCTAGTCGGACTATGTGTCCCAGATAAACGTACTAAAACGTACTTTTACTACAGTAAACGTGCATAGGTATAGAGACAGTTAATTTTGGAAATTACCTGTATTATAGCAATTTGTAATGCGGATAAGATAAAAAAAAGAAGAGGCAAACCCAAAAAAAAAAAGTTTTTGTTTTTAATTGGGGGAATTTTTTTTTCCTTTTTTTTTTTTTTAAGTTTGGTGAGGATGCGGCGATTGTTTTTTGGATTCTTTTCGTCTGCTCTTTTGGGCCTGGTTGTTTCCATTTTTTTTTTTTTCTTTTATAAAATGTTGTCTTCTGATGGCGTAAAAGTGTTTGCTTACATGAGTGTCGTTTGAGCGACGATGAAATGTACCAAACGGCTCTTATGGCTTTCGATAGATGGCGGTACCAACAACATGGATATAACGTGCTGGTCGTGGAGTATAGAGATAAGGAGGACAATCTCCCATAGGTGAATAGTTGAAAATGTGTCGATCTGTAACCAGTAAATAACTTAAAAACTCTCCACAACAGCACTCGAGTAGCTACAGGGTATTAAAAATCGCCGTAAAATACGTTGAGAGTGATTTTGGAAATAAAAATTTTGAAAATAATAAAATAATAATTATAAAAAAAATTATGGTGAAAGTCTGTGCAGTAAAAAATTATAAAAAGTTCTTTAAATTTTACACTGTAGCTACGCTGGCTCCACCCTTATTTAGCGGTTTTCTACGGACACTTTTTAGGATAGGGTGACAAACTAGCACACAATCCACCTGATGGTAAGTGGTTGCTGCGGCCCATAGACATCTGCATCTATCCTCGATTACAAATCAAAATTCAGATGCGTTGTCACCCGTGAGGACTAAGATGGAATGCCTCGTTTCCAGTAAAAAGGGTCTCTGGTTCTCTACACTTACCATACGAAACACAGCAGCATTAAACTACTATTGTACGCTGGTATTCTGTGAGCGCGTGGTGGTTCCCGGTCGAGCCGATCCATTCGTGCTACAACTATACTACTAATATAACTGCAGCATGGCTCTACAACGTATTTTATACAGAATTTGTTCTGTTTATCTCTACACTCCATAGTGCTAGTGATTGTAAGCAGCGATTGTCAACCCGCCTGCTTAGCGTAATGATTGCGACCAAACCTTCCTGCGATAGCCAAGTCCAAGTTCAGCAGTGGATGATCAAGAAAAAGAAGAATAAAAACAAATTTGAAATATTATGAACTACACATGAATCTCGGTGGTAGGATTCCTTTTCTTTATAAAGTGCCGTCTGGTTCGGTATTACCCACAACTACTTATGGGTGTGAAGAGGAGGTAAACCCAATATATTATACGCTGTGATGCGTTTAATTTTCATCCCTAGGTATCAAAATATTGACTTCTTTTGTTGATAATTACTAAGGATATATCCGATACCGACACGAATATATCGGCGATACTCGAAGTTTGCCGATATATCGCCATCGGTGATATTTATATGGCCGATTCAACGATATTTTTAAAATTTTGCGCTTTAAAATCTATTCCCTGGAAAACGAGGCACGAACTAACTTTGCAGTGACTTTGTATTAACTATGCAGTGATGTGGCTTGTTTCCTTGTTTCCTCTGTCTACTCTGTTGTCACAAAGAAAAAGGTCTCCCAATATATCGAGAGGCGCAGATCCGTTCGTTTTCTAGCGCAATAACGTCATACCCAAACTTGAAAAAAATGACGCAGAGGTTCTTTAGTTGCCAAATCATTTCCGTCGCATCTGAGAGACTATTTTCCACCGCAGGCATTATTCAAACAGATTTGCAAAATCACTTTTCAGCGCAAAAATTGGGAATACTTTGTTTTTCAAACAAAAATCTCATCAACGTTAATTTATTTACTAAAACTATTAACTAATCTCAACTTTACTATAGTTTTAAATGGTTTTATTTAGTTTGTCCCGTTATTTGTTTTTTTTTATATTAATAAAAAAATAATCTGACCTGTGTTTTATATATTTTACCTTCATTTTTGAATTCAAAAAGCGTAACGGTATCAGTATCGCCGATATTTTTGTGGGAGCATAGGTATCAGTATCGTATCGCCTAAAAACTTATCGAGGCATCCCTAAAATTTACTAGAAATTCAACATCAACTAGATAGTTAGCTCTTAATTTGATAAAAAAATATTTTAAACTTATAATCAAAAGTCAAAAAGCGCTTTTTAATTTATAAAATATACAAATGGTTCCAAAAATCATTAATAAAAACTAAAAATCTTCAGGCTACATCCCTGTAGTTTGGTTTCTTAGTCACGTTGGTTAAGCAATTAAACCGTCGTTTCTTGCCCTTTAATTTAGCTATCACAGGTTCTTGGGCTAAATATATTGCCGGGACTAGCAATTAACAAGCGAATCTAGAGACCTTACTAGTTAATCTGGACGTAACAGCCTTCTTTTTTATTTAGAACTTGTATTCGGTACAAATTATTTTAGTCTTAAAATTAGGAATATATTTACAGTGTTTTATTACGTCGTAGAGCCAAGCTGCAAATACATTATAGTTGTAGCATGAATGGGTCGCCTCGACCGGGGCAAGACCACGCTCTTACAGATTATCAGTGTAAAATAGCAGCGTAATGTTGCTGTGTTTCGTATGGTGAGTGTAGAAAACCAGGGACCCGTTTTACTCGAATCGATGCATTCCATCTTAATCCTCGGGGGTGACAACGAATTTGCATTTTATTTCTTAATTAAGCATAAATGTGGATGTCTATGGGCCATAGCATCCGATTACCATCAGGTGGACAGAGTGCTCGTTTGTCAGCCAATGCTATAAAGAAAGTGTGTTAAGATTTAGCCCGTGAATCGTTGTAATCTTTCCACAGTAACAGGATGAAGGGTTTTTGACTGATAACTTCATACTCCTTAGTGACGACCAAGTAAGACATATCGAACGTAGATGGATGCAAGTAGCTCGCGCCGCGTTTTGTGACATTCCTAAGTTCAGCTGTAGACATGTTGAGGGCTGTAATTATAACGATGATGACAACGGATGATGATACAAAGCTACTGAGATATTTTTGCAGAAGAGGCTCTGCCAAGCGAAAAACTGAACCCGTAATTTCCATAGCATGCAATCGAGGACTAAAACTACCGGTAAGAGAATATACACTTTAGACTTACAAACTCATCTGCCCAGAGAGGTAAGAAAAGACAAATCATGCATCATGTCCGGCAGCGCATACTTGCAAAGAATTATGGGTTCTATTCTTAAAAGCCTACAAGTAAAACCGTATAGTGGTAATGTAAAAAATATTCACCATGAGGTGGTACGTGGGTGTGGTAAGAGGTGACAGAGGGAAAAAAAACAGGAAATAGGCAGGAGAGTCATGCCAGTTATAACTAGAAAATAAAAAAAAAACTGCAATTTACAAATCGCAAGTAGCGTGGCAACTATGGAAAATATATAATTATTAGGGGTATTAATAGAGTATTCTCATCTGGTTGAGCTGAATATATATATATATATATATATATTAGGAGATGATAAATATATACAAAAAGTTATATTTATACTACATTTCATATAATTAAAAGCCCAATCAGATGGAGGCTCTCGGCAGGGGAGTCCAAACGGCCGAGGGTTAGGGGGAAAGGTAAAGAAAACGGCGGACACTGCGGGCAGTATCGAGGAGCACCGCCTTCTGCATTTGAGCCTGGAGCAGTCCGTCACGGAGTCTCAGCCATTTCAGATGACCGGAGAGGCTGACTGGTATTAGCTCGTTTGCACAAACGACTACGGGAATAATTTCGGTGGGCAGATTGTCCCGCATGTCGGTTACCTCATGAGCCAGCTTTAATATTCTGTTTGCTTATCTGTTTCAGCTTTCACGAGGTTCTCTTCATACGGATCGGTAATGTCGACCAAAAATATCCTTGACTGTGCCCGGTCCATCAAAACAATATCAGGCATATTCGCAAGAATAGTCCTGTCTGCGATGATGGCCCTGTCCCAGTACCAAGTACTTGTAATACGGCAATTTCCAGTCCACGAGACCGTAATTCAGAGCGACCTCCTGGTGTAGAATTCTGTTATTATTTGTCAATAATAGTAATAATAATTATATTGGCGTAGGGAATTGACGACCCCATCGCCCGCTGACGTAATAGTTATGTGACAAAACTGCTACGTCAACGCAGTCAGTCAGCGCCTTGCGAGAGGTATGAGCACCGTGCCTCGGCAGAATTTAGGGTGCAAAGGCTCGTTTGTGCTTATGGCCACACACGATACGGTGCCGGGCCTGGGTGTCTCCCGTTAATGGACGCCCAAATAATGGATGATGGATAAAAAGATAGTGCGCAAAGGGCCGCTGTATAGGGGTCGCCGGGGCGCGTCTGGAGCTGGCGCTGGACGCAGCAGCTTGCGGGCCGCCAGCCAAGCGCAAGGAGCTGCACGGTTACCTAGCAGCCCTCCGCATCCATCATCCCCACCAGAAGGCTTGGTATCGGCTGGGTCTTCTCGGATTCAGCAAGCGGCACCCGCCGCTGGTGGAGCACGTCGCATGCGTTGCTCACAAGCAATGAACGCAAACGCACTGCGGCCGTACTTTAGGGCAAAAGGGGAAGAAACTGGATGTTTGGCGTATCGGGCTAGGATGCATCGTCTTTTTACTGAGCTGGAGCCATCTTTAACCGTCACAGAGCAAAACCTGGCAGACCGAGTTCGGTATATCTTGCGCTCAAATATAGTTGATGTCGCCGAACTCGAACGGCTACGACGTGTGGCTGTTCCCTTATCGGATGAAAATGCTACGGCTGAGGATGCGGCACCACAAATTGTATAGCAACCCGCAAACGTGGATGCCGCCATGAATACCCCAGTTGTGGTTGATTCAAAAGATGATGGAACAGTCGCCCACGAACTGGAATTAGAGCATATGAGGAGTACATTGGAAGAGGCGATTGTGGAAATTCGCAGTACGCCTCTCAAAAATCGACCGCGACCACGATAGCCCTAAGCAAGCGGAATCGGGCTGTCGTGTGGGCTATGAACCCAATACTGGTGACCTATTTGAAAGCCAGCCGGGACCTTTGCGAGACGGACTCAATTCTTTTCGGCGCCGCACTGGCCGTATCGTAGTACGTTTATGCCGTATCATAGGCGCCATGAAAAGGAGCCGTGGAACGGCTGGACCCGCTACTGGCCGAAGTAGCGCTATCCCAACATGGAGAAGAAGAATTGAGGAACGTATCGCAAAGGCTAGAGCTCTCATCGGCAGACTGATATGCTTCACATTAGGCAATAACAGGCCAAGAATTGTGCGCACCGTCAGGATGGCGTTTGCTGGGACAAATGTCAGTTTGTCCCAGCCCGATATAACGCAAAAACTGACGGAGCGTATAGATGATCTGAAGCAGAGAATCGCTGCTTGGAGAAAGTGGATTCGGCGATATACCGAGAGGTCGACACGGTTCAACCAGAATCGTCTCTTCCAGAGTGATCAGAAGAGGCTCTATGAATCATTGGAGCGACCAATGGTAAGTGGAACGGGCCCAGCACCGAATCAGGCCGACACCCTTGGACGGAAGTTGTGGCGAGTCGATAACGCCCATGGACCCCGTCATTATTACACCGGTAGACGTAGCTGAGGCGGTCCGTAGGGCCCCGAACTGGAAAAGTCCGGGACTCGACGGGCTGCATCACTACTAGTTGAAGGGGTTCGTGGTGTGTCATACTGTGTTCGCCCGACAGTTTCAAGAGGCTCTCAACCAAAAGTCGCTCCCAAGCCTCTTCACTACTGGGATTACCCATTTGGTTCCTAAAGACCAGGGTACCACAGACCCGAGCAAATACCGCCCCATCACTTGTCTACCGACCATGTACAAGACACTAACATCTATTTTGAGCGCGAGAATCACTCGTCACCTGGACTCAAATCAGGTGATATCGCGCGCTCAAAATGGATGTCGGGGCGGTAGTCATGGAACCAAGGAACCACTTCTCATTGACGCGGTCATTGGCAAAGTGGTGGAACGCAACCGTCGGAACTTTTCCGCCGCCTGGATAGACTAAAGAAAGGCATTCGACTCGGTGCCCCATACATGGCTAAAGAGAGTCCTCGAGCTGTACAAGATAGACTATACAGTTAGAAACTTCCTCGAGCAGTGTATGGGGCAGTGGAGTACGATCCTTTGTCATCTGGGTGAGCGGATGATGGCTGCGGAGAACCACATAAGGATAAGAAGGGGTATCTTCCAGGGCGATTATCTGAGTCCAATCTATTTCTGATTCTCTCTGAACCCTTTCAGTACCTTACTGGAGGGCTCCGGGAGGGAATTTCAGCTACGGAAAGGAGGGATAAAAGTGACTCACATTTTCAGCTCCATTCATGGAAATGAGCTGGGGACGGATAAGTGTGCGGTCCTCCATGTTGAAAGGGGAAGGGTGGCTAACTTGGAGGGCATAGACTTATCTATGCCCATCAACTTAAGAACCCTTTCCGAGGCTGAAACATACCGATAACTGGTTATGTCACAGAACATCGGTATCGATGAGGCTGGTATGAAACAGTCAGTTTATGACGTGTTTTATGCACGCTTGACCAAATTGCTTAACAGCCTTTCGTCCGGTGTGAATAAGGCACACGCATGTAACGGCTGGGTCATGCCTGTCCTCATGTATACCTTTGGCGTACTCAGGTGGACTCAGACTGAACTTAACGCCCTGGATAGAAAAGTCCGCACTGACATGACGTCCCATAGGATGCATCATCCGAGATCGTCGGTAATGAGGCTGTACTTGCCGCGAAAGCATGGTGGGCGTGGTTTCTTGAGCACGCTCACCATGCATAATCGCGAAGTGTGCAGCCTCCGTGTTTACTTTCTGGTGAGATCGGATGATCCATTCTATAAGGACGTCATTTCTTGTGATAAAGGACTTACCCCTATCCTTAGCCAACGAGCAATGGCAAGACCCGGCAGTGCAGACCATTTCCGACCGGGAGACCGTATGGAAGGAGAAGGAGCTCCACAGGAGGTTCTACAAGGCTCTACATGAGCCTTTCGTAGACACAGTAGCCTCTCTCCACTGGCTACGCTTTGGTGATCTCTTCGGGGAAACCGAGAGTTTTGTCTGTGCAATACAGGATCAGGTTATTAAGACCAACAACTATCGGAGATACATCCTAAAGGATGGCACCGTCGACATCTGTCGAGCTTGTCGCCATCCATGTGAGTCACTTCGGCATGTCATCTCCGGTTGTTTGGCGCTTTCTAACTCTGAGTACTAGCACAGGCACAACCTAGTAGCCAGAATTCTTCACCAGGAGCTCGCTCTGAAATACGGTCTCGCGGATCGAAATTTGCCGTATTACAAGTACTTGCCGGAAGCCGTTTTCGAAAATGATCGCGCCGGGCTCTATTAGGACCGGGCCATCATCACAGACAGGACTATTCTTGCGAATAAGCCTGATATTGTGCTGATGTACCTGGCACAGTCAAGGATATTTTTGGTCGACATTAGCATTCCGTATGACGAGAACCTCGTGAAAGCCGAAACAGATAATCAAACAAAATATCTGAACCTGGCTCACGAGGTGACCGACATGTGGGGTGGCCTGCCGACCGAAATTATTCTTGTAGTCGTCTCTGCAAACGGGCTAATCCCAGTCAGCCTCTCGTGTCATCTGAGGCGACTGGAACTACGTGGCGGACCGCTCCAGGCTCAAATGCAGAAGGCGGTGCTCCTCAATACCGCCCGCATCATCCGCCGGTTTCTTTCCCTTTCCCCCTAACCCTCGGCCGTTTGGTCTCCCCTGCCGAGAGCCTCCATCTGGTTGGGCTTTTATTTATATATGAATTTTTATATTTATTTTACGTTATTGATATTTATGTACATTTATCTTTTCATTTTCATTTATAATTATATATTTATAGAATCCAACCGGATGAGAAAACTATATTGATATCCTCCAATAATAATAATAATTATTAATAAATAAAAAATAACTGTTCAGGGGGTTACTTGCTTGGGAGAAGTACAAATTTGTGTAAAAATTATAATGGGTGATGAATTGATTTTTTATTTTATTATGCTTTAATAAATCCATTTTTTATTATTTTTAAAAATCGTGCTTAAACATAACCTGAAAGGAAATATAATGCACATTGTAAAAAAAATTTCTAACTTTAATAACTTTTCTTCGACTCTAAGTATTTTCTTGTATTGCGGGGGAGCTGTTTAATTAATTAGAGGCTGTTCAGCAGACTGTGAAATCTTGTTGGAGGTATTCAGTTGGCAGTCAAAAAGCATTGTAATGGATAATAGGAAGAGACAGAAACATTACTCTACGGCTATTGTATAACATAATGTTGAATACTTAATACCGTCTCCAATTAGTGGTTAAATAAGAATGTTTTTTACGGGTGATAAATGTTTAATACTTCAATTTTTTTATTTACAAATAGAACAATTGCGTCAAAATTTCAACGTCTCAAATATAAGCTTTGAAATATGATTTTTTTTATAGGATAGGGTGACAAACGAGCACACAGGCCTTCTGATGGTAAGTGGTTGCTGTGATCCATAGACATCTACATCTATCCTCGAATACGAATCAAAATGCAGAAACGTTGTCACCCGTGAGGACTAAGATGGAATGCCGCATTTCCAGTAAAAAGTGTCTCGGGTACTCTACACTCACCATACGAAACATAGCAGCATCAAGCTACTATTGACTAAGTATGTATGAAGATGCATTGTCACCCGTGAGGACTAAGATGGAATGCCTCATTTTCAGTAAAAAGGCTCTCCGGTTCTTTACACTCGCCATATGAAACACAGCAGCATTAAGCTACTATTTTACGCTGGTATTCTGTGAGAACGTGGTCCTTCCCCGGTCGAGCCAACCCATTCGTCTTACAACTATACTACTAATATAACTGCACCATGGCTCTACCACGTGTAAAACAAATTTCACATGCGTACTTAAAACTTATAAATATAAAACATGTTTATATAAAGATCCTGCGAATTTCTGACTACTTCAAAGAAATGTAAATTTAGAAGCGTTGAAACCTATCCTAACCCACTGGAAGCATACGCAGTCTCGTCGAACCGGTCTTCCCTTACGGCCCCTAGACTCAAATGTCACTGCACTATTACAAAATAATACAAACGTTTTTTGACTCAAACACAGGTAGAATAAGAGATGGGACTTGCCGTGGTAGTAGCCAGGCGTAAAGTGTACCAGTACGTACTGCATCTCAATTAAACTTGTATGCATGGACGGTCCTCGCCGCCCAGATTGAGAAACAGAGTAACGCATACCCCACTTGGACAATAGATGATGCTAGATCAAGCTCATTCGTACACCAAGTATTCTGTTGAAGCACTGACATTCTTACCTGTACTGACTATTCATTCATTATTCTCTCATTACAGTCTATCAAAAGTCCACTGCTGAATATCAATCCATATCATTAACCATAAGTCTCCTGTCGCTTTTTAATATGGATCTTACCAGCATGGTAACAAAGCGAAGTGTCCATCTCGCTGCTGCAATACGAACTTCGACGGCTCCGTGGCGCAATAGCCGCGTACACACTTAGCGAACAAATAGCGATCACCGAGGCACCTTTGAGCGCATCTAGTTTAACGAAGTGGCTCTCGGCCGAGGCAACATGCGCCCGAGGCACGTCCACACCAGCCGAGGCATTTAGCTAGCGAGGCTGCCGCGCGAGCCCGTGCGCTAGGAGTGTACACGGCTAATGGCTTATCATTGAGTTGAGGCGCTGAGAGCCGTGGCTACGAATCTCACACAGATCAAGTGTGGCCTGCAAATAATTGTCACGTGTCTGGACGTATGCCTTTGGGAAATTTATATAAACTACCTCCACGATACAAAAGAAAATCATAGTGTAAGGTAACGTAGTTATAAAAGGAAAAAAAGGTGTCGGGGACGGACTAAATGGATTGAAAAAGTTCTTTTGCGATCTCCACGGGAATGTATATTAAATATATATTAAAACAAATATCAATACCTATGCTATGCGCCAAATCTAAGGACATATAATATGTAGAATGTGTACATAATATGTGCTGCAAGAGCTTGTTGGGTTACGTTTAAAATTATTTAAGTCGCCATTTGAAAACTAATGTGGGTTTAATCGATCGTTAATCTCAGAAGTATTATATCACATACAAAACCGTTGATCGTGCAGTGGTGGTGTAAGAATATCCACTTCTCCATACCATCCCGTGGGCGTCGTTGGAGGCAACAGAGGGAAAGAAATCAGGAGATTGGCAGCAGGGTCTTCCTAAGACTAACGAAAATAAAAGACTATGGTTGCCAACCCACTTGCTAAGCGTGGCAACTATGGAAAATGTGGGACAATCTCCCATAGACTGTCTCATAAGGGGGACTAGCAGTGTACTTAGATACTATGTAACGGTAATAAACAGAACAGTGTAATTGAAAAAGTCTCCTGCTTTAAGGAAAAAAAATGTGGGATAGTAGCTTCAAACTAAGAATTAAATAAAATATATTAGGTAGGTAGTAGGTATGCTCAAAGTCCGTTTTCGACTAAAAGCAAATTTGCGTTAACACTTCGCAAGACTTGCAGTGTAAGCTCATTAGAGTTAACTCTGG